TGTTGCCTCTTCAAAAAGGAAGAGGAGACATATCGTAATTTGTTTTTTTAATTTGAAAAAGTTCGTTTCATATGGAACAGCTGTAATGATGTATTTGACTTTATATCCATACCTTATCTATGTTGGGAGGAGATGCTTTTGGGAATAAAAATAATAATAATAATAATATGACAAATTTATATAGCATTAATTGATCCAGGAAAGGAGCAATTGGTAAATCACTCTTTAAGTCTGGAAAAGTATTTGATTATCATGGGAAGAAAATGGAAAATGTGTCTCCTCTTTCTTTTTCCAAATTGTTACTAATGCACATAACTTTATGCAAACATTATGTATACATGTATGTATATGTATGCATGTGCGCTCGCAGTTTTACGTTGTTGTTGTTGTTTCATACCTCTTAAATTCCCAGTAGGATTGACGGTCTTTAAAATTTCTTTAGTCATTTCCTTATGATTGTGGATTTTGCGCACGGCCTTCAAAGTTGTGCGCCGACAAAATTAGTATCGTAGTTTACTACAGTCTTTCAAATATGTTGCGTTAATTTAGATCAAATAATGTATTATAAATATATATAATGAATAATATTAATACATTTTGGTTAACTAGTTATCCGATTTCTAATCGAATACATATTTGCCTTATGGATTCAGACTTATCAGTTAAAAATATTCCACTCATCATTAAATATGTATTGCAAATATTATTTTTTTTTAAAATTGTTATAGTAATAAGTTTTTGAATAATTTGCTTTTTTTCGTTATGTAATTTGAATGTCACCCTCTGATAATCGATTACGTATGTGCATAATATTGTGTTGTAGGTTGTGTTTTGTAGACAACTCATAATTTCAATTCTGTATAATAACATGTTGAGAAATATGAAACTCACTTTTTTTGTTTAGTATTCAGTCTTATTCTGAAAAAAGCAATGCTTGCATTAGTTTTGGGGATGAAATAACTGTTTTGTAGGGTTACATTTTCCTATATGGTTGAGATATGTTTTAGTCCTACACATTGTGAAATTATGAACGATAAATTATGTTGTATTTATGTTCGTTTATCAAATGATACAAAACTTAGGTATTATTATGTTGCGATTTTGTATAAACTATGTTATGTAAGAAAAAGAAATCGGAGTTTTGAGAAATGAAATCAATGAATACGAAAAAAGTCCAGCTGCCTGATTTTGTTTTCCACTTTTAAAATCTAAATCCGGTATGAAGCGATAGACAAAGAAAGAGACGACGTTATGGCTTTAGAGCACGAGAGAGTAGAAAGTGGAGCGGCTGAGACTCGAACCTCGGACCTTGTGATCCTCGTCACGCATTTCAAGGGTCGAAAACGCACTCACGCACGACGCGCGCGCTAGGTTTAGAAAAACGCTATACCTCAAATAAGACTATATCCAAAAGACAAATACATATTTGAATAGAAATCAAATAAATAGTTCACCCAAATGAATTAATATTATTATTTCAATTTAAAAACAGACAAACCAATCAAAAGAAGTTTGAGCAAAATCGGATAACTAATAAGAAAGTTATGAATTTTTGAAAAGGTATGTAAAAGCCATGTATGCATGGTAAGCCATAATGCTATCGCATTTGTCTCCGTTTCAGCGTTGAGGGCGTGTTATTTTCTCAGCTGCAAAGAGATTCGATCATACACAGTATGTCCTCCGCTGATTTGAGACGCGACATGGAAACAATCCAGGCAGTGGACAAAACACCAGTTTACGGTTGTATCAGTGCGCATGCGCAGACATGGGCGCCATTTCAAATGGTGAGTAAAGCAAATTATGCTGATATCACTGCCTGCGCGCTGCGTTGTGCGCGCATAATTTGCATGGGCGCAATCTTATTTTACGCATAAATACCACTGACCTCTAGGTCATTGGCTTTGTTTACTCGCCAATTAAAATGACGCACACAACTGTAAACTGGTGTATTAGGCCCTAATTCACAAACCCAGGCTTGTCGACAAACCTAGGTTTGTGTGCGTCGATCATATGACGCGTTTTTACGCTTTTTTACAGACCAAGGTTTGTAAAAACGCGTCGAAACGCCTCATATGACGCACGAAAACCTAGGTTTGTCGACAAACCTTCTTTGTGAATTCGGGCCTTAGTGTTTAGTATGACCTATAGGAAATTATTATTAAAGGAATCGTAAAAACAATAATTGTGACATTCATTCCCGGCGATAGCTCAGTCGGTAGAGCAGTGGTCTCGTAATCCGGTGACCCGGGTTCGAAACCAAGTCGATGCGCTAGTGCCCTTGGGTAAGGCATTAATCCTCATTACCAGGTCCCTCGGAGAGAACCTAAAGCCGTCGGCCGTCTGGTTGCTTACTAATACTAACATGCATTCATGCTTTCTTAGCAGTCAGGTAAAATAACCACCGCCACCCATACTAACGTTATTGTTACACAAAATCGAAAGTCAACCAAGCACCACCTAACTATAATCGGATGAATCGATTACATTTACATTTCTTCACGAATTAACCCCCAAAATAAAAGTTTTCATTCAATAAATAAAACTTTAGCACATGCGTTATCTTTATATCAGTGATAATTATTTTATAATAGTCATTGATATTTTAAAGCTAATTTTTATACCAATACAAAAAAGTTAACTCTAATTATCAAAGTTAACGTTTAAAATTATGTGTTTTTAATCTTATATGTATTATGAGATACTTGCACTTAGTGAATTATGTGTACGTCTAACTCGCGTACTCTCAATATCGACTAGGTCGGTTTTCAATTTTAGAACGGGTCTTTGTGCTCCCCGCGCAACGCCCCCTATCAAAATCTAAAGAGGATCAATCTGTATTTATTAATAAGCCTGTGTACTATGTTTATGTCACTAACATTCTTTTATAATTAACCGTTCTCGTATAGCGCATAACACATAGTATTAAAACATGTCACTATGCGCTCTAGAGAAAAATAAAACAGAATACAAAGACAAGATGTACTGAGTAACAGACAAAATGGATGAATTAAATGTTAAATAAGTGCGTCTTTAAAGCAATCTTAAACTTAACAATGGAGTCAATGTTTTTTTTAATGTTCCGGGAGATTGTTCCATAAAGTTATTGACGACGGAATGGATTTATTTTCATACAGGAATTGTATTAAAACGTATTTGCAACCATCATATTTAGGGTGTATGTAACTATGACTTAACATTTCTTTAGGATTGGAATAGAAATTTTGGAATTTTAGTACAAAGTAAAAAGGAGGGGGCTGTTGATACACGTCACATAAATACCAATTTGTGTTTGATTGATCGCAACTTCGAAGTATTTAACTTTCTAATTTGTAATCGGATTTTATTCAAACTTTCACTGACCTTTTCCTCTCATTCCTGCTTCTATAATTATGTGAAATCATTGGTCTGCTAGTAACAAGTGAATAAAACGATTCACAACAAGGAATGTGTGTTTTAAATTTGATTACATTACGAAAATGGTGTGTGTGTGTGAACATTTTCGCTGCTTGCAAAATTATTTAAACACGTCACATGATATTTTATCAACTGTACAGTGTAAAACCAACTGTGACGAAATGAGCAAAGCTGGTGGTTTTTTTGTGTGTGTGTGTGAGAGAGTATTTATGTTTTGTAAGCAAAAGATTGAAACATACTTACACTTGTTCTGGGAGTGTGTACATGTTCAAAGGTTATGGCAGAATTAAGGTCTGTCGACTGGGTGGATATTCATATAGGGTTGTCCGGTTATTCCCCACGAATAAAGATATCTAATACAATTATTTTTGCAATGAAATATTGGATATATAGTTGCAGGTGAAAGTCCGCAAAATTGTCTTTGGGTGATTTTCAAAAAGTACCGTTTAAATTGTAGCCCTCCTGCATCTAATGTTTGTTAATTATGCATTCAATATATTTGTTTAAATTTAATATATTTGTTTAATATCGTTTATTATCTGTATAAAATTATAAACACTTGGAATATTGTATCAAGCCATATTTGTTCATGAAAATGTATGATGAAAAAAAGAAAATTCAATTTGTGGGTATTCTGAGGAGGCTAGGAACAGTGTGTGGTACATGTTTCGAAGTGTCATCGGGTGGTGTGTGTATGTCGTATGGTGGGGATAGGGGTAGTAGTGTGTGGATGTGGATGAGGGTGTTAAGAGTGTGTTTAACGGGGGAGGGGGTGGGGGAATAGACACACAATTCTCTCAAGTTAACCTTAATATTCTTAATAATTTATTTGAAAATATTTTCTAAACAGTTTATGGAAATGTACTTTTGTTTTCCTTCCTATTACAATTAAGGTTTAATCCAAAATATCAATGTACAATGTATTCAGATTTGTTAAGAATGTTTTGTACAATACGTATTTGATTTAAGAGAAGAAAAAAAAAGTTATCTATATAAAAAAAAGTATCAATCATATATGATTAATTACGTCTGGGGAGTGGGGACCGACCTTTATGCCACCATCAGACAGACGTGACTCAGTTTCGAACCGGGGTCCGCCTGAGTCAGTTTGTAGGCGAAGACAGAGAGCTGACTAAGTGAACGTACCGCTAGACCAACTCACATCTCCCATAGACCATGGACCCTACTACGTAGTAGGGTCCATGCATAGACGGTCTCACCATCTGAGATGCATGGCCATAAGTGTTACCAGTGTCTGTGCTATGGTGTAATATAAAAGCCCTAACAAATTGCGCTTGAAAATGACCATGCAGTGCCTCAAAGAAATAAAAATCTTTGAGTGACCGGTTTCACCATACTCTTTATCCCCAATAGACGGTAGTATTTATAAAAACCCGTTAGAAAAATGAAATTTCGATTTCCAATCATAAATATCTTGATAATCAGACAGGAGATCGGCTCGTAAAAGTCATGGAATTCCTGACTGACCTAAAGGTTTATAATTATGATTGCAGCATGAGCTAAATCCAGGATTTTGTTTCAGAATCAGAGGCAATGTTACCGAGTCACTTTAAAGTAATTTCCTGTTTCAATTTTCTTGTTATCCAATACAGTTACAGCAGTGGGGGCCCTTAGAATGCTCGCAATGCCAATTTGCAGAGCTAAGATGTCTAAACTGATCGGGCCGGACGAACAAGGTAAGAATTAAAGACGAAGTTGAGTTCTGGTCATGCGATTGCATTGTGAAAGAAACGGTGTGGAATCGACCAGAAAAGGTTGATCATCTAGCATATAAGAATTTGTGTGTATTGCAAGGTTCTGGAATCATCAAAATGATAAGAAATTGGCCACGTCTTGGTAAAGTTACAAACACTGTACACAGAAAGATGTATATGGGACTACACGAACAATTATTATTATCATTAATATAATGATCATCATGATCATCATCGTTACTACTATCATTATCATTATCATCATCTACTGTCATTCTTGTTACCATAGTTATCATTGTTATTATGATTATTGTTATTATAATCATCATCATCATCGACATTGTAAATACAAAACAAACACATTTTACATTTCATATGTATAAACAAATTAAC